ATATATCTCTTTATCTTTATTTTAGTCAGCATGACAATAAATTACTTTATTTACGTCGCAACCCGTTCCATGAACATCGCATTAGTTCTCAATAACGGACTCTTTAAATGCGAGGCGAACTTTCTCTTAGCGTAAGCGCACTCGTTATATTTTGCGATTTGTTTATTAAAATTATAATTAAGACTTGTTTTTTTAAAGCTTAATTTTTTAATTTGTCTTATCACATGTACAATCCTATAACACATATATAATCCTATACACAATATTATATTGTTAATTTTTTAATTTTCGCTGAAGAAAAATCAATAGTAAACTAAGAGAAAATTTAAATACTTTTTTTATTAATTTTTATTAATATTTTTTAGACGGTTTATAATATGTAATAACAAGAAGTATACAGTAAAAATTTTTACAAACGATAGAAATAATTAACAGAAGTATACACGTTGATATAGTTTTTAATATATTTTTTCCTCTTATTGAAATAATTTGAAAATGGAATTAATTATTCATGGATTTGAAGTTTTTAATTCATATGTTTTCAATTTATTTATCAATAACGCTTTGGTTAAATCTCTATTGAAATTTTTTGTTAAAAATATATGAAATGAAATATTTTTCATATTCTTATAATTATTATTATTAAACAATTTTATGTACACTTTATGTGTACGTTTGTAAAAAATAATATTGCGATGTTTAAGTCTTTTTTTCTTAGAAAGTATCCGTATATTGATTTTATACAAATTAAAATATCCGTCAATGATTTTTCGCGAGTATCTCTTTGGCGACTTTCTCGGGTCATTTGATAATGCCTCTTTGTACGACCGCGTTTAAAGAGAAATATCGATAGGTACTGCGAGGGTATCGGGCCCATCGCTAGTCGCGGGGTCCCACTTGCCGCTCGAAGCGTCGAATTCCACAGCGTTTACTCATACGAAAGAACGAACTCGAAGACTTCTCGGGGCCGGAGAGAAACTTTGATGGCGGAAGAGAAGTGGGAGAGTGGTCGGGCAAGAGAGAGAAGAGAGGGGGAGAGAAAGAGAGAGAGAAGCAGCATTTATTATGTGCTCTGAGACAAGTCCCCCTCAAGCACTAAGATCAATACAAAATAGAATCAATTGAGTATACATCGAAAAAGATCTCAATTTTCAAAAAACAATATCTAAAAATTATATAAATAAAATATGAAGAAAGAGAGAGAAGAGTAATCGATGATTTCTCGTTTAATCGGCCGTTGATTTTGACCGAGTCATTTGATTCGATCTAATTCTATTAACATTTTAGAATTTAACGAAAAGATCCAATTTTGAAAAGTAAACATCACATGAAAACAAAATACAAATGTAATCTCATCGAAATCACAATATAACATTTTCGATATTTAAAGATTGAGAATTCAGAAAGATTTAGAATTCCTCTTTAGATCTAAATGATGTAGCAACTTATAATGATACATTCTTTTGTATGTTTATGATTATTTTTGATATGTGCATTTTAAAAGTTACGAAAAAGATGTCAAAACAAAAATTTGTGAGTAACAAAGTCCAAAGATCTAAGAATTTAAGACGAAGCGACACGCGGGTAAAGTACGCGGCGTTATTTATAAAAACAAACAAATCGCATGCTAGCGAATCCCGGGTGTATCACGTAATTTCTAAGTTAGTACATCGTCGCTTACAACAGATCTTTCGTAATGCTTGGGACATTGGTCGACATCCAACTGCCAAATTAGAATTGTAACCGACTAAAAGAACGCAAGGATACGAAAATTCGAAGACATGGCAATCTATATTTGAAATACAAGCATGGAGATATTCAATTAATTAAATATTGTCTTGCATAGAAATTAGAAGACTCTAATTCGAAGGCATGCTGGACTTTATACTTATTTATCAATTTTATTCAATTACCATCCTTCTTATATTTTAAGTATTTGCAGCCAAGATAAGATTACTGACTTTTAACAAGTTGTAAAAAAACAGAACTTTGTGGATTCCAATGTAGAAGTATAAATAATTCAAAGCCTAAGAAGCATTAGAAATTTTACAAAATAATTCAAATATTATTTGAATTATAAATTGCGAATACAGGAAAGGAAACGTGAAAAAAAATTAAGCTGGTGAAAATAACGTAACTGGACTTTATATGGCCTAATATTAAGTATAATCTACTCGCTGTTTATGAGTAATTACATAATGAATTTAACAGCATTAGTAAGATTATCTATTTGACTTGATTGATCAGTTTATTGCTCAAGTTGTTCATTCTGTGATTATCAATAAAGCAAAATGCAAAACGTTGTAACGTAATATTTCATAGGTAAGTAATTGCTTTCTATAACTACTTAGAGATGGTTATTAATTTTTATCTAAATTATTGATTATAATTCACACATTAAACATTGTGGAGATAAGTAAATAAGTTGTGGAAATAAGTAGATAAGTCAATTGTTCGAAATGTCAATTGTGGAAATAAGTTTTTTTGGTGTATTTTTACATGCTAATATGTTAATAAATTTTTAATAAATAATTTTATAAAAGTACTATTGGATCATTATATTTTCTATTTGTCTAACACTTTTTTTATGACAAAGAGAATAATTTAGATCATATTGGTATATTTATATTCCAATATATTTTTTTTTAATTTTCACCACACTCATGTTATATTTAAAAATCTTTCATATTTTTTAATGTTCAGAAATATTTCCCCTTTTGAATCTGATTTTGCATTAGTTTTCAATTTTGAATTCAACAAAAAAGATTCACAACTTAGAATAAAGTCACAAAGATTAGGCAGGCCATATAAGGTTTAATTAACTTATTATAACATAGAGAAATAAAAAGATTTTTTCTTTATATTTTTTCATTCTGCTGTAACACAAAAACTGCACGATTTTTAAAATGAATTAACAACTAAATATAATTTTTGTTTCTTTATCCGTTTATCTTTAATATTTCTTTGCAAACATACGAATTTGTGGAAGCCAATGGCAAACCGCACGAAATACGCGAATAAGGAATGCGCGAATATGCTTCTATCGTATCAACTGACGTAAGGAGAAAAGAGTGAAAAAAATTGCTGACATATCTCGATCGTTGACGTTTCAGCGCCGACCGCAGGACCGTGCCACGACGTAAGCACTATCGACGTGAACTCCAACAATCACCATCACCATCACCACCATCATCACTGCGGACACAATCAGCACGACCATCGGCCTCAAGACCGAATTCCATCGTCCTCCTCGATGTCTACCTTGCTATGCTGCGAGCCAGTATGACCCGCAGCCTGAGCGAACCAGGACCGAGTCCCTGCGCCTTCCCAGCACCAACGACCACTTCGTCGATCATTAATAATAACAACAGCAACAACAATTCTACCGAACCGCCTTCGATCGTGATCAACGAGGAGGTGAACGGCGACGAAGACGACGACGTCCACCGTCGTGGCTTCCATCATCTCCATTACCATCACCATCATCATCACCATCATTTTCACCATCATCAGCACCTATCGGTGACTACAAAGCGCTGCAAACTGGAGACTGCCAGCCTGCCTACCAGCCCCTGCTCCGAGAACGGCCTTCATCGCCAATTAGTGCTAAGCAAGACTCGCGTCATCACCGCAGACGACCTTGCCCAACGTCTTGTGCATCTTGAGCGATCCTCCGCCGTTCCAGTGATTCTGGATTGCAGACCGTTTACATTATACAATGTCAATCACGTACGCGGTGCCATCAACGTCACTTGTTCGGATCGCTTCAATCGACGCAGACTTCAGCTGGGAAAGGCCACCCTCGCCGATCTCGCATCCGCTCGCGAGGGCAAAGAGCTGCTCAGAAAAAGACAGTTCAAGGAAGTCATAGTGTACGACGAAGGTACCGACGATCTGGAGCATCTGACCGCTCAGAATCCACTATTCCTGGTACTTGCTGCACTCGTGGATGACGATCGGGAGCCGGCTGTGCTGATCGGTAAGCACTCTTTGATTTTTTTCGCACATCTTTGATTAATATGCTGATTTATAAATTTGTATAAAAATGAAAATGTGCTCGATTATTTTTTTTGCATCAAGTTTCTCCGTTGAAGAACAAAAGTTTTTAAGAAACTGAATGTATCTATATAAACTTTTATGTTATCTTACCCGAAAGCAAATTGCAACGCGAAACTGAATATTTGAATGTATATAATTATTATTACATTGGCTGTAATTTAACTTGTTAGCTAAGTACGATTCTTGTGCTATCAAATATAGTACAACTGATAGTGGCAAGATAATGGTATCCGAAGATATCCTACGCACGGATGACCCACACATATTAGCAATACATCTTATGTTAGACAAATTTTTCAGTTGATACCGCGTATGATTGTTTAGAGATACACAGTGATAGATATTGCGTATTGTTCTTTGGAGATACATAGAGCTAAAGTTTCACAAATCTGTTATATAAGTTAATATATAATACGATAAGTAGAATTGGTAAATTAATTTATTAGAGGGGGATATAACACAAATAATTTAGAAATAATCTAAAAATCTTGAGATTTAGAGATACACTGACTCTGATCAGAATGAGATCTAAAGTTATGACAAATCACCACGATGTTTTCTACACGCCAATCACTGCCGACGATCAATCTTCATTGGCCTCTCCTTCATAATTTTTTCTTATAGCGCGATATTTGTTTACAAAAGCGGCCGCGAAACGGCGTACTGTTTGTCGTCTATCCGGTCCTCGACGTGGGAGTCGAGTCTCTGGTTTTCGGAAATAACGATGATGCGAGCGCGATATTTCTGCCGGCCCGCCAATCGCGCGTCGAAACTTTTACGTCGATCATTCTCCGCTACCATTTTTGCGTTTATATATTATATACTATTAACTCTCTCTAGTCTTTCACTTTTTTCCTTTTTTACGATACATTATTATTAAATCAAATTTCGTAGAAGTGTCTTCTGTAGTTCCCATCAATTTCATGTTTTTTCAATCTTCTTTTTCATTAATCAGCAAGATAAGGTAATTATTATGGAGTGTTGTTTAAGCTGAAATGAGAGAAGACGAATGGTAAAAAAAAATTATTTAAAAAAGCAGTATTGGAAAGAATTAAATTTACTTTTCTACAATCATCTTGTGTATTTTTGTACGAATATAATTTTCTCTAATATTTACTGAAGGAAAATAATTGATTTAATATTATTTTACATTTTTTTTTCTCTCCAGTTGTTCTTTTATTTGTTTCATATTTTCCACTTCACTTCTTTCTCCTAAATCAGCACTGGCATAATTTTATTTTAGATACTGTGCGCGTCTTTCTGACGTAAAAACTGTTCGCGAGAATTTAAGACGTAGACAGCTTTTACATAATTTAAAAATCCATGTGGTCATTTAAATGCAAACTACTAGACTTAAATAGAACATATTCCATTAAAAAGCAAAGGAAACGTTGTCTCCAGACGGAAAATCTCAATTGACATTTAAAGTCGCGTTGTCACGTAATAACATTTAGATTCGAGCGGATAACGATAAATACAACCTTCATCTACAATAGAATCGTAGATCTAAATGCTACGCTACGTGAATGTGAAAATTAGGAAGATTGCTGAGGGTGAATCATATTCCCGTTCATTTTCCTGAATGGAATTTGTCGCGAGATAATAGAGACTGAGGATTCGGAGGGCTTCGAAGGAAGGGAACGCGGACGGAGAGATCCGTTCGAATGGATCGCGTGGCTGCGAAGACGACGACGACGGCGACGGCGACGACGACGACGGCATCGTGTGCTCGTCGTCGGCGCGTATGAAGGCGAAAGGTGGGGATCTATTCATAGGAGTGACTCACGTCGGAGATGACGCCGCGAATAGTCGGACAGATTTTGCGCACCGCGATCTGCGCTTTCGCCGTGTTTTCGCGAAGCCGCGCAGGGAGAGATGAATTATAGCGGAGCATTATGGGAGATTTGTCCAGAGTTTACACGCTAATCGTGCCGAATTAAATATTAAGCTCACATTTAGCGTACTCGTCGCTAAATATGGCCATGATTTTCTGAGAAGCGACGTAACCATAGGCTTCGCGATAACGGTATCGTCAACGCTCTAGCGATAAAATTTTCAAAGTTGAAGGATATAAATATATATCATGTCACGATGCTCAAAACAAAGGATCAACGTGTAAGAGTCTAACGATATAAAGATAGCGATTTAAGATCTATATTTTTAGATCATTTTTTATTTTTGTATCCAGAAATCCATAGAATCGCAAATTGATATAATTACTCATTATAAACATAATTGTTTCAAAATATAATACATAAAAAAATATATTTTTAAAAAATTATCGAACCGATTAAAGGCACAATAATAATAAAATTCGAAGGTGGTATAAAGAAAAAGGGGGAAAATATATATATATATATATATATATATTATTATATATTTTTTATTTTTTTTATTACTGATAGACAATTTTATTTTTTTTATTATTCTCAAACATTTTTTTCTTCGTTATTCAACAACGAGCAATAGACGTCACTCTTGTCATCGTGTCTGGTTATTACATAATTAGTAACGATTCGCGGTCGCCTATATACGAGACCAAGCATCGTGTGGCTCGTTTTGGCGAGGCTAATGTGTGCGTCTGGTCTCCCGGTCGGTCCCGATCGCATTTTTCTCAGACGACAACTACGACGGCAACGACGACGACGACGACGACAACTGACTACGACGTTGAAGGCATGAGTCACCGTGTATATCGACCCTACGGCATGTTTACGCTGGCTAAGCGCACGAACAGCCATATGTCAAAATCACGATTGCATAACGTATCCCCTGCGTTGTCGCCGTTGCGTCTCTCATTCTCTTTCGGGATATTTAGATATGAGTCAGTTGTACAGGCTACGAGATCTTTCTATCGCTGCGACCTTAACCCTTTCAGGTGTTCGCTCGGGAAAGAGGCTAAAAAATTGCTCGAATAAAGACTTAAAAGGAACGAAGCGGAACGACGTTGCGTCCGTAAGATCGCGCATATCTTGGAATATTGTATTTTGTATTCTAACACTTTCTAGTAGTTTATTACAAGAATTCGATTGCTAGAAGCTATTCGTTTTACTATTCAAGAATAATAGAATGTACATATTGTTCAATTTTATTAAAATATATATGTATAAAATAAAATTGCAACAAACGTATCATTTGTAGTGTCAGTTTCTCTAGTCGACATTTCAATTATTTCACGGTTATATCTTTCTAGTTCTAGTTCTTTCAACTTTTAAAACTACGTAGTGCAGCTTATATTTTAAGACGAAGAGTTTCAAAGTACAATTCTATTTGTAAAGTTACAGAAAAGATAATGTGGATGGAAGATAATATAATAGAAAAGGTTACAATACAGAAACGATTTTTTTTTATAATACGAATCAATATTGATTAACAATATTGTTTAATAATTATTAACAATTAGAAAAAAATTATAATATACATAAAATTTAAAATTGTATAATATATAATGAACATATAATAAATTAAGCAATTAATTTATTATTATAAAATAATTTAATAATAATAATAAATTTGATATAACAATAATTATAAAAGTGAATATCAGATCATATAAATAATATAGTAATAATAAATCTATATAATAATCTCATGAAAACACTTAAATACATACTTTAATATATGAGCAAACGTTTTGGAGTATTTAGAGTTAATAAATGAAGCTGAATTCGAAGCTTAATGAATTAGTCATCGCTCTCTGAAGCCGGGGGGTTGCTGTATTTTTTCCATTGTACCGCTTTTTCATCCCCCTTCCGTTTAAGGGTGCGACGAGAAGGTGGTCTAATCGAGGGGGAGCGTGCGCCTCAGAACAACGTACAACGCATCTGGATCAGCTGTCGATGACGATTATTACGTATGAGTCATCCGATACACAGCTCGCTTTAAAATGTATCAATGACTAACGCGCGTCCAACTCACAATCGCTTCAGACTCCCCCCTTCACTCCATCACCCTTCAGGTCCCTTTGTGTTGTATCGGCGTGATTCAAGTACTACTAGGATCGTGATGAAGGATCTAAAAATACGGGGTGTCCGATGACTCTAGCCGTGTCTCGTAATTACTCGTGAACTTATTTCTATGGTATCGACGTAAATATACGAGGGTGTTTCGATGATATAAGCTAAAGGGGATTTTCACAAGCATGCCGGAATGATTCTACATAAAATGATAACGTAAAAAACGTAGAGAATTTTTCTTTATCTTGATGCTTTATTTTTGAGAAAATTAAATTTGTACATGCAAGGAGTAGTCACTTTGTTTTTATTTTAAGCTTGTATTGCTGTCACGACATCGCGTGTCATAGATTAATAAATTCATTTCGACGACTATTTTATCGGTGTCGAATAAAGTGTAAACTTTCTTTTTGTTTCATACCGTGGATGTTAAAATATGTTGAATTTAGATTTTAGATCGCAAGTTAAATTGAAATTGAAATTTAAATTATAAAAAATAATTATAAAGTAAACACTATAATTAAAAAAATATATTTTTTTAAAATTTCTTTAACCAGACAAGTTTCTCGTAGATTTTTGGATACTTTTGAAAACGATTCCATAAGTCAGATTTTTATCAATACGTCGGGTTTCCAACGTCCAAATTTAATGTATCACCAATGAATTTTTTGAGATATTTGACTTTTTTTAATAAAAAAGTTAATCTTAAATCTTAAAAAATCTTAAAAGTTGTTTTAAAATTCTGATCAGAAATTATGAATTATTGCTTATCCTCTAAAAAAATGCATTTTTAAAATTTGAATATCTTTATACTTTTTAGCCATTATAAAGGATTTAAATATTTTTCTAAAGAATTTTCTAAAGATCCGCCTATAACGATGAAGTCATGTATACTTATAATTTCTAGTATGTGTATCGATAACCACAAATTAGAAGTATTATAAGTATATATGACTTCATCATTTCG